CATGAAACAAATCAGCAGCAACATGAAACAGATCAGCAGCAACATGATGTGGTTTTTCACAGTGATTATTCTGGTTAGAGATTCATGAGTCTAACAGGCTCAGGGTAGAAGCTGTTCCTCAGTCTAGTGGTTCTACACTTAATGCTCCTTAACCTCCTTCCTGAGGGGAGCGAGGCAAAAAGTGTGTGTGCTGGGTGAGTGTGGTCCTTCATGATGCAGGTGGTCCTCTTCCTGCATCTGGAGGTGTAGATGTCTGTGATGGTGGGGAGACTGACTCCAACATCTTCTGTGCAGCCTTCACCACTCTCTGCAGAGCTTTTCTTTCTGCAGCTGTGCAGCCTCCATGCCACACACCTAAATGGAAGTCGGTACTTTACATATTTTTCAAGTTATCACACGCATAACATGCATGGATGGATGGAGGGTATTTCTAATTCCTCTTCTTCGCTCTGCGATGGGAGACAACAACTGGATTTCTAAACAGGAGAAGAAGACTGTTTGCTTTTGTCCAAGAAGATGTTTAAAGTTCTGGATGGAAATGAGAAGATCTTTTCTTCCAGAATTAAAGCCCAGTTCTTTGTTGTTCCAGATTTAGGCTTTGTTCCATTCTGGATGACTGAGAATCTCCACCAGCATGTCTGTGGTGTCACGTCTTCTTCGAGTTAAATTCCATTCTAACATTTCAGATTTACTTAGAAATTATTCTCAAACAGCTGCTTAAAGCTCTTCACGGAGATGTATGAATGAAAATAATAGCAGGAGTTAAAAACACTAAATATCTGCTCAAAAATAAAAACCAGAGCAGTCTGATTTGGCAGCAGAGCGCCCTCCAGTGGCTCAAACTAAACATTACAGCTACAGACAAGGCATAAACAATATTTAGTTATTTTCCTGTTTACATCATAGTCTAAATGTTTTATTTTTATGTTGCCACCAGAGATTTATGTTGGTGTCGCTGTAGTTCCTTAGATCCACTGAGCTTTAATTCCATTTTTGTAACTCAAATACATTAAACAAATAAAACAGATGGAAGTTTATCTGAATTTCTCTGTCTAGGATTCTGAGTTTATATACCTGTACACTACATTGCCAAAAGTATTTGCTCACCTGCCTTGACTCACATGAGCTTAAGTGACATCCCATTCCTAATCCACAGAGTTCAATTTGACGTTGGTCCACCCTTTGCAGCTAGAACAGCTTCAACTCTTCTGGAAGGCTGTCCACAGGTTTAGGAGTGTGTTTATGGGGATTTTTGACCGTTCTCCCAGAAGTGTATTTGTGAGGTCACATACTGATGTTGGACGAGAAGGCCTGGCTCTCAGTCTCCGCTCTAATTCATCCCAAAGGTGTTCTGTTGGGTTGAGGTCAGGACTCTGTGCAGGCCAGTCAAGTTCATCCACACCAGACTCTGCATCCACGTCTTTATGGACCTTGCTTTGTGCACTGGTGCACAGTCATGTTGGAAGAGGAAGGGGCAGCTCCAAACTGTTCACACAAAGTTGGGAGCATGGAATTGTCCAAAATGTCTTGGTTTGCTGAAGCAGTCAGAGTTCCTTTCACTGGAACTAAGGGGCCAAGCCCAGCTCCTGAAAAACAACCCCACACCTTAATCCCTCCTCCACCAAACTTTACACTTGGCACAGTGCAGTCAGACAAGTTCTCCTGGCAACCGCCAAACCCAGACTGGTCCATCAGATTACCAGATGGAGAAGTGCGATTCAACACTCCAGAGAACGTGCCTCCACTGCTCGAGTCCAGTGGCGGCGTGCTTTACACCACTGCATCCGACACGTTGCATTGCCTTGGTGATGTATGGCTTGGATGCAGCTGCTCCACCATGGAAACCCACTCCATGAAGCTCTCTGCACTGTTCTTGAGCTAATCTGAAGGCCACATGAAGTTTGGAGGTCGGTAGTGATCGACTCTGCAGAAAGTTGGCGACCTCTTCGCACTATGTGCTTCAGCTTCCACTGACCCCGCTCCATCAGTTTACGTGACCTACCGCTTCGTGGCTGAGTTGCTGTCATTCCCAAACACTTCCATTTTCTTATAACACAGCTGACAGTCGACTGTGGAATATTTAGGAGCGAGGAAATTCCATGACTGGATTTGTTGCAGAGGTGGCATCCTATCAGTTCCACGCTGGAACTCACTGAGCTCCCGAGAGCGACCCATTCTTTCACAAATGTTTGTAAAAACAGTCTGCATGCCGAGCTGCTTCATTTTATACACCTGTGGCCATGGAAGTGATTGAAACACCTGATATATATATATATATATATATATATATATATATATATATATATATACTGTATACATTTAGAATGATACACCAAAGTTAGTAATGGAGTTCCTCAGGGTCCAGTGCTTGGAACAATACTCTTTACTTTATATATGCTTCCATTAGGTAAAGTTATTAAACAGCACGGGATAAATTTTCATTGTTATGCTGATGACACACAATTATATTAGTCTATTAAACCACCTATTAAAAGTGAACAAATTGAACAAGAAGAGGCGTTCCGCTGAAACAACTTTATTTATGACCTACAGGTGACTCACAACTGATCAATAGACATCTCAATAATCAATCAATTATTCTGAGCTGTACGGCGGCACCTCACCTGTTGTGCAGGTAAAATCTCTCACTCTGAGGAGTTTCAGATTTCTAACAAGCTACAGTCAGTCATCAAAGAGGCACAAAGAAGAAATGTCCCAGTGTGTCCAAACCCCGCCCCCCAGTTCGTGTCCCATGGTCACAGTCAGGCTCCGCCTCCTTCATGGCGTTTGAAGAACAATCCAGGAACAGGATGAAGGTCGGATCAATGAACAGAACAGGATCAACAAACGTGACCTTTGACACCCTGACAGGCCACTCCCCTCCCAGAAGGCGGGGCTTAAACTGTGACTCCACTGGTGTCATATTGCACGACCAATCAGCTGCTGACAGTCTGAGAATAAGGCATTAGATCATATTGATTGATCAGCTTGAGCTCCATTTCCTGTTTCCTCCAAAATAAAAGCAGATGGAAAGAGTTCAGTTTGTGCTTCAGTCTGTCAGAATCAGAGCCAATCACCGATCAATAGGTGAAAATCAAAACCGATCACTCCTCATGGTTTTTAGACCATCAGTTGATCAATCACCTTTATTGATCAACTAGAACTCAGTTGATCAGTTGCTTTTACTGAGCAACTAGAACTCAGATCAATGAGTTATTGATCCAGGCTTTCCTTCCAGTTTCTTATAAAAAATAAAATATTAGTTTATTGATTTATCACTGATCAGGTATTAATTGTTTATTGGTGAAGTTACTGATGATGATATTGATAAAGGCGGGGTTTCTAACTGTTGGTGGAATCAGCTGAGAAGTTCCAGACTCTGCTGCCAAAATTATGAATCAATCGATCAATGAGACATTCAGACATGGTTCTGGTTCTATTTGGAGCCCATTTCAAGTTGTTCTGGGCCAGAACCAAACCTCAGCTGCGTGTTTTCCTGAAAGCCCAAACAGAACCTGCTGCAGTCCCGTCTGCAGTAAAAGAAACACCCGATTAATAAATTCTAACCAATCAGAATAATCAGCTGACAAACTGAAGCACTGAGTCGTTCAGGTGAGCTGATGACGTTAGGAGCACACCTGGACTTTCAGGATGAGCTCGGGTGGGCGGGGCTCTGCTGGTGCTGCTGCTCAGGAGTTCTGCACTCGCAGTCTGTACCTGCTGTCTGAGGGGCGGGGCATTTGTCTGAGAGCTCCGCCTCTTCTCTGAGTTCCACCTCTCTGTGAAGCCCCGCCTTCTGAGACCCCACTCCGTCTCGGGGTTCTGCCTCCTTCTGGTGCTCCACCGCCTCCTCTTGGAACCCAGCCTGATTAAGCTCCACCTCACTCTGGGGCTCAGCCTCCTTTCCAAGTGCGAGCTCAGTCTTGGCTCCTCCTCCAGCAGCTTCTTCTGAAGCACTTAGAACTTCTCCTCCTCCTGCAGCTCCGCCCACAGAGAACTCCACATTGACCTCTGCTCCTGCTGACCCCTGACCTCCAGCTCCTCCTGGACTGACAGAGGAGGTCAGAGCCTCAGTAATGATGGCGGCTGTCTGAGCAACCCAGTTCAACTCCACCCTCTCCTCCCCAGCACCTTCTGCCGACGATGGTGGGAGGGGTTCGGCTTGTGGTGCAGGCGCGTCCGTGCTGGCAGCCCCAGACTGGCCAGGTCCGGGAGGTCCTGGATCAGCAACGGTAGCAGCACTGTGGTTGTTGTTAAGGTTGTCCTGCAGAGCCGTCTGGTTCTGACCTGCCTGCTGGTTCTGCAGAAGCATCTCCTGGATCCGGATTTGTTGCAGGATGGCAGGAAGCTCGTAGTGGTGAAAGAAGTAGATCATGGAGTGCTACAGTGATACAAGAAAAATGCTGTTATCCAATCATAACCCCTGATCAGCCCTGGATAGAAGGGGCGGAGCATCATACAGGTAAAAGAAAGATTCTGACCTGAATGAAGAGCCAAGAGGTGACCAGAGCCAGACTGCTGTACTGACCGTTGAAGCGGTAGTGATAGGCGTAAAAGGCGAAGTGGTACAGATAGAAGAACCTGCAGAACCCAAACAGAACACTGTCAATCAACAGAGTATACGTGCACCAACCATATCTCCATGGTAACAGAACCTCTAATTCTATTCTGAATCTCTACACGTTTAGAGCTCAAAGTTAAAGGTTTGTAAGAACGAGCATGAAAATGAACAGATGTGACGAATTCATCTTTTCTCAGGAAATATGGCGACTTTTTTCCACTGGCACCGGGTGTAAGCATCCAGCTAGATGTGCACTAATAACACCATCAGCAGATGGAAGAAACGTGTTGCTAACGTAATATCTTTAACTCCTCCCTCACCTGGCAACAGTTCCCACCTGCCTGAAGACCACCACCATCATCCCAGTCCCTAAGAGCTCTACAGTGACTGGTCTGAATGACTATCGGCCAGTGGCCCTCACCCTGAAAGTCGTTAAATGCTTCTAAAAACTGGTCATGACCCACATCAGAACAACCAACATCAGCGAGGACCCTCACCAGGACGCATACCATGAGAACCGATCAACAGAAGACACCATCTCCTCTGTGGTCCACACTGCTCTCACCCACCTGGAGCAGAAGGACTCCTACGTCCGTATGTTCTTTGTGGACTTCACGTCCGTCTTCAACACCATGATCCCCCAAACCCTGATGGACAAACTATCCACACTAGGACTAAGCTCCTCCATATGGTCCAGAACTTCTTAACCAACAAACCGTAGTCTGTGAGGATCCACAACTTCTCCTGCTCCACCATAAGTAATTAGTAAGTAAGTAAAGTTTATTTAATATTGATACTTACCACAGACATAAAATCAACACTCAAATATACAAAGAATAAAACAAGCATAAGAACTTCATGAAGCACAATAAAAACATGACACCACAACCCTCAGCACTGGTTCTCCTCAGGGATATGTGTTGAGCCCCCTCCTGTTTACTCTGCTCACGTATGATTGTGCAGCTACACATCCAGGCTGTCACATTGTAAAGTTTGCAGATGATACAGCGGTGGTGGGATGCATCACAAACAATGATGAGTCCAGCTACAGGCAAGAGGTGGAACACCTGGAGAGCTGGTGCAGGAAGAACAACCTTCACATCAGTGTGAAGAAGACGAAGGAGATGGTCGTGGACTTCAGTAGGAACAAAAACACCTACACCCCCCTGAACATAAGAGGATCTGCGGTGGAAGTGGTCTCCAGCTACAAGTACTTGGGTGTGCACCTGAACACCAACCTCAGCTGGAGCAACAACACCACCAGCCTGATGAAGAAAGCTCATCAGAGACTCTACTTCCTCAGGCGGCTGAGGCGAGCTGGTCTGGAAGCTCAGTCCTCACCTCCTTCTACAGGTGTGCAGTGGAGAGCATCCTGTGCTCCAGCATCAACGTGTGGCATGGAGGCTGCACAGCTGCAGAAAGAAAAGCTTTGCAGAGAGTGGTGAAGGCTGCACAGAAGATGTTGGAATCAGTCTCCCCACCATCACAGACATCTACACCTCCAGATGCAGGAAGAGGGCCACCTGCATCATGAAGGACCCCACTCACCCAGCACACACACTTTTTGTCCCGCTCCCCTCAGGAAGGAGGTTGAGGAGCATTAAGTGTAGAACCACTAGACTGAGGAACAGCTTCTACCCTGAGGCTGTTAGACTCATGAATCTCTAACCAGGAGAATCACTGTAATGACACTTTAATTGGTGATATGTGACTTATCTGTGCTGCTGATCTCATGCTGCTGATTATCTCATGCTGCTGTGTTCACTCATACCCATCTGCTCACCACAGACTCATGTTCAGGCTGCTGTTTAATATACCACATTGTTTTACATTATTAGTGTTTAGCGTAGATCTTAGCTCCATATGTACTGTTTTGTTTTATACTTTATATTTTTGCTATTTTTGTGTGTAACTTGGACCCCGAGTACATAATTTCCTTCCACCTCATGTACCACAAGTGATGTGAATGACAAAGAAACTTGAACTTGAACACCAGCACCAGAAGGAAGAACATGTTGAAGAACATTCACCAGTTACGGTTACAGGAAAAAACCCTGTGCTCTGTCCAAGTGGTGGTGTTAACATGTTTCTACCATCTTGGTCCATGGCAGCCATGACACCGCATCATGTGACTCACCGCAGCCAGTGGCGTTTGCTTGTGTTGGTGTGGCAGCAGATGGCGTCGTATTGATCGGCCAACCAAACAATCAGAATGATGTAGAAGGCTGTTGTCGTATCATTGAAGAACTCGGACATTATGGCCTCCATACCTGATGACAGGAAGTGACATCATAAATCAACAAGCTACGTTCATGGCACAAACCAGCGCAGACACGTTCCTGTTTTTAGTTTTTTACATCACTTTATAATCTAGCTGTTTTTGTTTTGTTATTTTATATAATTTCTTCCATTTATTTTTCTATTTCTAAGCTTTAGTATGATCGTGATGACAGTGTTGTCATCGCTCTGTTAAAATCAGGTCCCTCTTGTAAAAGAGTCCTCGAGGCTCAGTGACACTAACCTGAATAAATAAAGGTTGAATTGACAAATCACAAAACATATTTTGGACTATGAATGTTTTCATTACATATAAAACGTTGTTTCTAGATCACGAAAAGACGGAGCATGGGGTCTAAAAAACGGTTCGACAACTGGACCCGATCGTTTTTTAGGAAAAAGTCCCGAGAACACTTTGACTGTGAAACAGGAAATAAGAACTTAGGAGTTCAAACTTACCAACTAGGGCGAGGATGACGGTGAGCAGAGGGGCTGCTGGGAAGGCGATGGTCATGTTCATCTCTAACATCTGCAGAAGATCCACTAAGGAGGAACGGAGGCCAGGTTAGAACAGGATTTAAGGTTCTGATCAACTCAACTGGATCTAAACGGTTTTTATCTGGAAGAGTCTGAACTTAAACTACTTCCAAGTTTCAATGAAGCCTAAAATCTAACGGAACCAGAACCAAACTGGACTGGACCAGACTGAGCTCACGGTCCTGATCCAGAACAAACTGATCTGTGAGGCACAGATTCAGCAGGACAGGGTGGACCTCATTAAACCGGTCCAGACTGCATGTTGAATGAATCTCAGTCCAACTGGACTGGGTTCCCCTGAGCTGGTCCAGTCTGGTTCAGTGTTTGGTGCCTCAGAGAAAACTGACCGATGAAGACGAAGATCTGATGGTGGGAGTATCTGAGCAGCATGGACACGGACAGAGTCTGAAACACAAACAGAACCAAAGGTCTGGTGTTAAAAGGTTCTGGTAGGACTCAGACAGCACAGCTCCAGGTGAACTTACAAATATGACCATGATGACAAAGGCAGCCAAGTACGAGGTTCTGGCCATCCACATGCTGACAAAGCGGTAATGTTCTCCTGACACCACATTCCTCAGGAACCCTGCAAAGAACCAGAGGCATCATGACCCTGCTGATGGAGCTCCAGCCTGAGAAAGTGGGCAGAGCCCCTCTGTACCTTTGTTCTCCTCGTTCTCTGCCAGCGCCTTCACGCTCGACATCAAGATATCGTCATATCCCAGAAACTCATCAAGCAGGAAGCGGCTGAAGCCATCACCAAAACATTCATCCTTCATGGGATCTGAAGAAACACAGAACGAAGAGACAGGGTCATGTGACCGGGTCATGTGACCGGGTCAGGTAATGTGACTAGTCCTAGTTAAGACTCACCCAGAGTGACGACCATGACAGAGATGTTGAGTCTCTGTCTGGTGCTCTGAGACAAACGAAGGAAGCCGTACTCCAGTGAATATTCCACAATGTACTCGTCCTGAGGCCACACTGAAACAACAGCACAACACACGGTGTAAACAACAACAAACAGGACAACAC